TGGGGCCAGGCTCTAATCCTGCCACCGGTCTGTTGTGGACTGTGACCCTGATGGCGCGTGTCTCTCAGTACCCCCTCCTCAGACACACACACAAACTTACCTCAGCCGGCCTGTTGCCCCTCACAGCTGAGGAGACGCAGCAGCTGAGACAGCAGAGGACCCCATTAAATTGAATAAACACACATACAGTACATGGAAACACACAGGCACAACACAGATCCATGCAGAGCGTACACACAAACATACACTACACCAACTCAAACTGACACAACCCCACAGAGACAGATATGCGCCAACACACACAAAAATGCACACAACACAGCCAGGAGGATGCTGTAACACACACATATACACACACATACACATACACATACACACACAGACAGCTGACCGTGCCACAGCAGCCTTACAATAACAAACAGTTGAGCTACTAGAAATACCAGCGCGAGAGATGAGACCGGAGGCCTGAAAACTGAAACCAACACAAAACACATTCCAGCAGCGAACAGAACCGACCGAAAAATGACAGACATTTTTATTCATGCCAAAAGTGCTGCGACCGGCCAATCAAATCCTTGATTAGGCCTGTGTGTGCTTTGTGTGACAAACCTCTGATTACAACCGCTGCTTAAGAAGCCAATTACAGTCCTTTGTGATTGCTTTGTGAATTAAGTTGCAACAATCAGACTGAAAACTTTTTTCTTCCCAGGGCTGTCAGTGAATGTTGATTATCAGCCAGTGATGGAAAAGAAATACAAATAAGCATCTGCAGACTGAACAACAAAACACAACTACTACTACAAAAGTTTTTTCTTACAGTGAGAATGGTACTGAATATATAATTATTTTCACTTCAAACCAGCTGCATAAAGACAATAACTGCAACCACAGGAGGAATCTTCAACAGTGGTGACCTTCAATAAATAACCTCGATGTTAAACACACACAGAGACACCTGAGGATTCAGAGGATATTTGTGTCTCCTTGATGGTGAACAAACGACACAAACAAAACGTGCTGAAGTGAGAACAGAGATGCTTCCTCACATGGAAACACCACCTGTTGTGATCTTTTAGACGTACAGCACACATTAAACTAACAACATGATGACTGGAAGATCACATGTTAAATTATTCATTGCTCAGCCCTGCTTTTAAACCACTTTGGTTTCCGTATTCAAAGAAAAGGCTCTCACTAGAGATGGTTTATTTTCTCTCTGTGTAATCCAAACAGAAAACAGACACACTGAGGTGCATTAAAAGTTAAAAATACTTCAAGATAAAAAAGTCTTTTTTTGAAAGCAACAACACAAATGACAACCAGAGCTTCACTTGACCATCTGTTGAAAGTAAAAGCACTAAACAGAATTATCACAAAAGCTAGACCCGATTTATTTTCCACCACTTCCTGATAAAATGGTCCATAAACAGCCAGCAAGTTTCTGGTTCTGTATCTGAACAAAAACAAAAGCTGCCCAGGGAACGACTGGACTGTAAGGACGAGTTAAACCACTAGACTGCACAACCAAAGTACAAGTAAAGTTAGGACCGATTGACAAACTTAATAGCCATTCAGAAGCCCTAAATGGCATTTCAAGGTCATTTAAAGAATAGCAAAGCGAGTATGTTGTGTGTGTGTGTGTGTGTGTGTGTGTGTGTGTGTGTGTGTGTGTGTGTGTGTGTAAGGAGAGACTGATAGAGCAAAGAGAGATTGACCATGAATGCCGTGAAAGCGGACGAGTGACAGAAGAGAGTTTAAGTTCACCAGTGAAGATATAAAGTAAATGTACAGCAGAGTGTACAGTCTGTACAATAATTAATGCTGCAGCTCCTCAAGACCTGCAGAAGTTTCATGTTTCTTGCCATTTTTACTTCTGTGGATATTTCGTATCACAGCAACCAGATGGAACCAAAGCGCCTCATCTGAAAATGAAATATCACAGTGCCTCCAAAGCACTCTTGCGCTCCCAGCTTGGAAAAAAATGCTTTGGTGGAAACACACTCCCTCAAAGTCACACTAACAATTGTCCAACCAGTGAGAACTTTGGTTGGACAAGACAAGATCGATCACCCAATCGACCAGAGGGTGTCAGCCCTTTGAACGATCCAACTAGCCAACAAAGGCCAAAGCTATTCTACTTTTAGCCTGCTTTCAGACCTAGAGTCGTCTCCTTTGGTCTGAATCAGTGACTAATTAACTAAAAAATACCACTAAAAAGTTGTATAATTGTCTAGAGTTGGTTCATGTTCTCACGGCAGCATTTACAAGTGGACCAGATCAAATGCCTTGTGTGAGAAAGCTGCTCTTGATTGGTCAGAATTTCCATGTGGGAAAAATCCAGGAAGTAAAGCAAACGTTGAAGAAGAGTACACTTGCAAGATAAATGTGACACTTTCTAATGTCACAATGGAGGGACAACTACGCAGGTTGATTTTAGCGCTGCTCATCGTGGACTATATTGCTGTCATTGTTCATTTTAGTCAAACCATACAGTTTGAAAACGAGGCGCGGCTCCAACTAGAAAACAATGTTTTGATGCATTGGACGTGCTGAATGTGCATATTAAGGCAGTACAGGAGGAGGTGCACATTAATAATCCTCCAGGACTGTAACATGCTCATGTTTAACCCAAACAATGTGTCATGTGACTGCAGATTAGGGCTGTCCCGAATACCATTTTTTAACATTCGGACCTTCGGCAGGGGGTGTGCTGTGGCCGTGCTGCCTGCTCTCTCCGGTTTTACGCCAGACTCGGCTCCTTTCAAAGACTCCTTGCGAAGCACTCCTCTGGGGTTTTTTTCGGAGTTTTGCATAGCGGCGACCAGATCTTTGCTCTCAAACCACAAAAAATGTGATGGCACAACAGTCTCCTTCAGTACATTATTCTATGCTTTCTTTTGATTTTCACATTGGCTAGTCATCCTATTTAATTTGTCTTCTGATTAAATCGGAACCGTTGAAACAAGTTGTAGGAAGCCTCTGCAAGTAATTGGTTGCTGGCGGACACTCTGTGCTGCAATAAAATGGTTAATCAGCAGTGCCGTGCACTGTAGAGCCGATGTGCTGCTGGTTCTGCCGGCCTGAATAGAATATAATGCCTATAGCCTTACTGTTGTGTGTACAGCCTTATAGACTGAGCTGAGTAGTGATGCGCGGGTCGACCCGTAACCCGTGGGACCGGCAAATGGACCTGCAGGTTGGGCAGCAGTGATCGTCTGTTAAATCGGTCTGTAAATGATATTTTGACATTATTGGCTATTACTGTCATGGCATCCGAAGGTACTGATGCGATGAGCAGTTGACAGTCTGCGGCCGTTTTCAAAACACACTTGTGTCACGCACTCCAAAAGAAACTTGCTGAAACTTTAAACAATAATTTACTGTACAAAACGGGGGAAACAAACATTGACAAAAACGGTTCCATAATTCATATTAAATTCAAAAGAATGTAAAAACAGCTACAAGTTAGAGGGAATAGTGATAAAGTGGTAAAACTTGGCATTGATCCACAGCCTCAGACGGATGCGCTCAAGTGTGCCGTGCGCACAAGCTCAGTTGGTAGGCGATACTATATTTTCACATTTTTAACAATGCAATTTAAAAGTTTTGATTTTTATTGATAACCTACATTTACCAAGAACAGAAAGACTACATTTAGCACCAAAAAAAATTGTTTAAAAAAAATAAATAAAATAAAATAATAATAAAAAAATTAAGTAAATAAAAAAACGAATATCGAATACCAAATTTTCATAACGAATACCTACCCATAGAAACGAATATCCGAATATTTGGGTACAACCCTACTGCAGTTGGTTCATATCCTGGTCGGAACACGTTCTCACCACAAATGAACCGCACCAGAGTTCGTTTGTAACCGGACTGAGACCACCTCTTCAAGAAGGTCTCAGTCTGGTTGTTTTGGTGCACACCTGAGGGAGATTGCTGTGTTCACACCTGCCCAAACGAACCGCACTGAGGGGGCAAATGAACTTGAGTTTGATTGAAACGAACCAAACCAAGGTCAGGTGTGCAAGCAACCATCGTGTTCCTGTAGGTTTCAAAGGGTTAAGTGAGTGGACCAGTATCAATATTTACAGTTGACAGGTAGGGAAAGAGTAGTGTAGCAGTAACAGTGTAGCTGCAGAGGTTGCAGTAGTGAAACAGAAGGGAAGTGGAGCACTATATGGCAGCAGGGCAGCGGACAGGCTAAGCAGTGGAGCAGTATCTGGCGAAGGGCAGCCAGTAGGTTTAAACGGATGCTGAAATGGAAGAGGAGCTGACCAGTTTGTTCCACACTTCCCCTTCCACACCATTTGCTTTAGCCAGCGTGGGCCGCCTCTTAAAACACACAAGTCACTGCACAAAAATACACATTTACTTCACGGGGCGGTCCTCTGGACAGTCACACAATAACACGACCCCACTGCAAAGCACCCATAAATCTACTTAATGGTGCGCCCAAAAAACCCACGAAAGCAGTAAAAACCTCACATGCGCCAAGGAGACGAGGTCAAGTGAAATGTCTTTGCCCAACATGAAAAGGCAAACCGTCTCTCTTTGTTTATCATAAATAAACCGCCATGTAGAGGTCAGGGGAAAAAATGAAAGAGAAGAAGAAAGGGTAAAGAGGGACACAAGAAAACTGAAATGGAAATGTGTGTGAGAGAAAGACATTGACTTTGGATGAGAACCTGGACAGACCTCCCAGACAGACAGAGATGGATGGATGGAAAGACACTCACACAGACAGACGCAGATTAATTGACAAAATAAAGAACATCAGAGGGTGAGACATCTGCAGGTTAATTTTATGTCCGTACTTTTTCATTATGCCACAGACAAACGAAAACAAAAATTTAAAACCACTGTGACTGGAACAATTTCATTCAAATCTTAAACAGGTTTTGATAATTTTAAAATGTCCGGTTAATTAATTTTAATTGATCAGAACCTGCAATCCTCTAAGCAAGATAAAAACATCAGTGATGGATACTCACAGTGAAGAAGAGGTCCATGACGCGGGTGTCCAGCAGTGCTTCCCTCCAGGTCTCCGTAGGCTTGAGCATGACGTTCTGCGTGGCCTCGAACATGGCGATGTAGTGGCGCCCCAGTGACCCGCCACCAGTTAAGGCCAACAACAGCATGAAGAAGAGGAGGAGGAAGAAGGAGAAGGAGGAGGAGGAGGAGCACTCAAAAAACACCAGCTCCTGTCACTAAGCTCCCTCTCAATGGGATATTTTTGTCTCTGGTTTTGGCTGGCAGCAGAAACTTGTGAAGTCACTTGTTACTCTCCCTCTCATTAATCCTGTCAGTCTTTATTCCACTACAGTATTTTTCTCACCCTCCCCTCTTTGTTTTCTTTTTCTCCTCTTTCTCCTTCGTCAGCTCTTCATGTGCCACAGCTCTCACCCACAAACAAAACTCCTTTCTCACCCTCTTGTCCTCACCACCTTCCCCTTGCTCCGATCTTTACCCTCTGACTTGCCCTCTTCCCTTCTTGTCCTCCTCTTCACCTCTCCTTCCTACCAGCACTCCCCTTCCTTGTGCACACTCAGATTTCTCTCCCCTGCTTCCTCACAGGATCTTAAACACACAAGACACACTCTCACTGCAGCCAATCCAGACTGCTTGCGTTGCTCTGCCTCTGTCCACTCCTCTGCAAGACGTCCTCGAGACTCCTTACTGCCCTGAAACACTCCCCTCTCCCTCCTCAGCCAATCACTTCGTCTCCCTTCCTGGCTGCTTTCAGAGACCCGAGCAAGACTCTCACAATTTTCTTCTGTCCCTCCTCGTCCACACACTTTCTTCTGATTTAAAACTTTGTCTAAACCAACAACACAATCACACTTTGTTCTAAAAACATTTTCATCTTCCTTTCCCTCATTCTCCCAGACATGTCTTTCTTTCTCCACACCCCCACAACACAAACAGTCTCCTTATTTTAAGACTTTCTCTACACCCACAACAAGTTTTTTCACAGACCCACAACACACATTTTCTCCCAACGCAGCCGCAACACTTCCTGTCTTTATTCAAGTCTCCTAAACACACCCACAACATGCTTTTTCCTTAGCTCATCAAGAACAAACCCCCTTTACTACTCCTTCCACTCTCCCAAGCCAGGCGTTCTCACTCCTCACAACACACACTCTTCCCTCAGTCGAAGCATCTCACAGTCCCACACTCTCTTCACACACCAGTCAGTCCTTGTCCTCACAGCATATATAATCCCCTGATGAAGGCTTCATGCAGACGCAAGTCAGCAGATTTTTCAGCCTGCTGATTGCACATAAATTAAACCCAAGACATCGACATATGAGGTCATTCTCTTTTTTCTTAATTTGTGTTTGGGAAATACAAACAAACAAAACTGCTTTGCTCTCACCTAACTCTGACTAAAGAACAACCAATTAAACTCCTTTCTCTCTTCAATATTCAGTATTCTCTACAAAATAAAATTAGAGGACATATTAAAAACACACTCCTCCCTTCATTCAGCTCTTTCTTTCTAACCTGTTCATGTCCAGTTTTCCATGTTTATTAGGTAGCTTTAAAGGTTGGTAAAATCATCATATTCTACTCTGTCTGACGGTATCCTATACGAGGTGTCTACAATTATCAGATACTTAAATGTAATGATTTTTAAGACCATTTCAAGATACTTTTTAACCACATTTAAAACTGGTCCAATCATCTTCTTTTTATCCAAGCATTGCAGGTAATTGTAAAGGTAGATATTGAATATGTGGTCCAATGCAGAGGTAAGTTTTATGTAGGAATATGGTTATTATAGTGAATAAGATTCATTTACATTTTGCCAACAGTTATATATATAATATATAATATAAAGTTAAAAGACAGTATCACCAGTAGTTGCTACCTTGGTAGTCACTAATGGGGGTCCAAATAAATACATCAAATAAATGAATAAATCAGGTTTAGTGGTAGGTTTTTGGTAGGTTTAAAGATTTGAAGCAAAGTGTTTTTTCACAAAAGGAGCTTTATCCATTTTGACAGAAAGCAATAAAGAGATGGATAAATGACATTTATTGACATTGAGGCCTAATATTACAAAAATTGAACAAGAAATTTTAAGACTTTTTGAAAACCTGCAAACGCCCTGTTTTCAGATTTAAGACTATTTATTGATTTTTAAGGCCTTTCTAAAAATGAATTTAAGACTTAAAGACTTTAAGGACCTGCAGATACCCTGATATATACATATTCTGTATCAGCTTGTTCAATGAAGCTATGAGTAAATATTCAAACTAGGGCAGCAACTAACAATTATTTTCATTATCGATTAATCTGCAGACTATTTTCCCAAATAATTGTTTGGTCTGTAGAGCAGCATGTCAGAAAATAGTGAAAATGACCAAGGCTGTCTTTGGAAACACGTTCTAGATACTACTAATGATAGTATTAAACTGTTGAATAGATTTTTTTTAACTATGCTTGGCCAAACTGAGGAAGTTTCCAGTTTTGGAAAGCTGAAAAAATATAACTTAACACTAGATTTTAGTTATGGTTGTTGTGAGTTTTCTTATTAGCAGCTCGCTACGATTAACATTGCTGTCTTTGTGACATCAAACGTTAGCTTGACAGGCTTAAAATTACAGCTGGTAACTTTTCCATGACTTTCCAAAACTTTCAATGATTTTTGCTAATTCCATGACTATACCAGTTTTTTTCCATGACTGTGGGAACCCTGAGCATCTCTCATATGGGGCAGTTTGTATTTTTCATGGCTAATATCATACAATAACAGCTGGTCAGACATGGCAACTATTACTGTCTCCTCCACACATACTTCTTTGCTACTGGTTGAGGCTGTGACATAGCAGGTTAAAGTTCACTAAAGTTGAACTCTACGCGATGCGAAGATGCAAATTTTTTGACATTGAAAACTAATGATTTCTTGCCTCAAATGTTTTCAGAAACATATTTTAGTGTACTGTTTAGCTATAAAGTGAGAATGTTTCTTTACCCCGCTGAAGGATGGTGTTTTGTTTCAGCTCAGTTGTTTCCAATATGGTGGCTGGGTGACAAACTCTCTCATTTTACAGCTAAACAGTACACTAAAATATGTTTCCAAATTCATCTGAGGCAAAAAAATTGGCAATGCAGCAACATAATCCTGATTCATATTTAATAAGCTCTGCCTAGCATATATTTATACTTATTTGATAACTGTGTCTCCAATAAAAAATACAATAAAGTTCTGTGGGTTTGAACAATGTTTATGTAGACTGACCAGTGGACCAGCAGAGGTCTAAAAGGGTCTAAAAGGGTCTAAAATACTGCATGGTTTAATTTATGGTCCCGTATCCAAGATATTAGATGGAAGACTTTAACAGTACGACTACCACCATTAACAATTTTTGCTTCTTTGTGCAGGTTTTGTTTTAATGTTTAATATTTTCTTCTTTTATCTTGCTTGTAAAACGACTGACAAATAAATCACATCAGAAAATGACACCCTCTCTTCTCTTCGTCTTCCATCACCCACACTAAACACATAAAAACACACACAAGCGTATCACTGCCCCGCGGCTCGGTGACTGCAGAAGGGGGAAACTTCCAGAGGAATGTTTGATCAAAGCCAAACAGCGGCAAGAGGCCGGCGAGGTCAAGCATTCCTCCGACACCAGCCCACAGTCACTCCCCGCGCACACACCCCGCCACAACACACCACACCATGCTTTTCGGCACAAAAGTTGGCACCTGTCTAAGGGTCTGTACGATCATGTGTGTGTATGTGTCCAATGCTTGGCTTTCAAGCTTTGTTAAAAATAGTCGTGGTGAAGCAGAAGACCTCTATATGAACCTTTCTGAAGAAGGAATGAGAAAGAGATCGGAATAAGTAAGCAGGCTGCTGCAATATAAATGAGTTCATGTTTATCTGTTTTATGCCAAAATTCATCTGTTTGTTTCTGATCAGAAAATGTAGAAAATGTTTTACTTTGTTTATGAAATGCTTTTTCTTTCACTCACTTTTTATGAACTCTCTGCCTGTGACTGAAAACTTAATCTAGCTGGTTTTAATCTTACAAATCCAGTAGATACAAGACAGAGAAAGAGCGTAATATGAGGACACTTTTCCTCCCGCAACAAGAGGGACTGACCAACTCCTACAGACAGGAGGCCGTCTCCGCAGGGAAAGACCACCTCAGTGACAGAGTTTGCACAAACCCTCCTAAAAGATCATATGACTGAGACAAAACTCACAAGAGACCTCAGGAATGATAACTACACAGCTACATTTTACAGAGCCGGACAGAGACGTACAATGGGTCTGACAGGTTGACACCAAAAAGTAGGAACGCTGCAGAGAAGGAACAAATGAGCAGTTAGGATAAAGTCAGGTTTAATATGTTTACTATGAAGCCATTTCTGAGATGAGACAACTTTAAAGCAGCGACTGTAAAAGAAGAGTTCAGAGTCTGAAAGACTGAAAAATACCTCTCAATTTCTTCTCCAAAGGCACTTGTATATTTTTCATTTTTAATTTCTCTTCTTATTTTAATTTTCTAAACCTCTTATTTATTTTTTTTGTACTATTTCTGCCATTGTGCTGCTGCAATCAAATTTCCTGCCAAAGATCGATAAAAAATATCTTTAAAGTGAAAGTTAAAGTTATTTACTTTACACACTGAAGGTGATATTATGACTTTTACCTGTTATTACTTCAATGTTGGTCTTGCGTGCTGGCTGGTTTTAAAAATAAAACATGCAGCATGATTAACGAGACAAAGAAAACCTGACTTCAGTTCTGACTCAAACTATTAGGCTATAAAACATTTATGTTCCGTCCCGAAAACAGTTAATATAAACTGAAATTAAAGTTCAACTTACTTCTTGTTATCTTGTTATCTTGTATCTTAGTGCTCATCTTGATAATAAGTTTATTTATAGAGCACTTTTTAAGCTGCTTTCCAGACTACAAGATTTACAGAGTAAAACACTTAAAATCCGAACCCTCCCAACCCTTATCTGGGTTTTACAGTAAAAAGTAAATTGACCTGCTATATGAACACACTGCCTCGGCCAATTGTATGTTTTTATTTATAAAGCTATTCTTGGTAAAATTCCGACCTACTTATCTTCTTT